TAAGTGAATATATCGAATTCGATTGGAATTGAAACTCGTCTCTCTGATTAACAGTTCCGATAAGCTATTATTCATTATGTCAAAGCTTACAGTACCTGGTATTCGCAAGTGGTCACCCATCTATGTACTGATCCGGCTCAACCGGGTGGGGGGATTTTGAGAAATGGAGTGTCTGTCAATTTATCTCCACCTATTAAGAAAAATAAATAGATATTAAATAACATTTCAGAGTTTAGGCCGATACATTAGAAGTATAGAGTTGAAGTAGAATTTAGAAGGAACCTCAAATTCAATCCTAAACAGGAAACAAGGGATAATCGTCGACTTCTTTTCAAAAGATCCTATTGGAGTGTGAACCCTTTTTTTATATAAAATCATATAACTCCGTGAAAGGCAGTAAAGATACTAAAATACAATGTGTTTTTGTGTGTGAAAGAATAAGAGAAAATAGAATTATTAAGGAGTGAGAACAATAGATGTGTAATCAAGAGGACTGTAGATTATGATTGATATTGTATTTGAATTTTTGAACATCAATGTTGGTGGGAAAGCATGTAGCTGGAAGAGAGTCCCACAAGCAAGAAGTGTGAGAGGAGAAACTGTTAGCATAGAACTTACGGTTACAACTAGCTAATTCATGCATTCATAAAATCTAAGTATCAGCGCGAAGAGTTCCTCCGAACAATTACCATGAAAGTATTCATAGAAAAGGCACCAAGAATTTACATTACGGAGGTGAGAAAATGACTGAAGCTGAGATGCCAGAACAAGACCAATAATATTGCAGATTCTTCTTTGGACTTTATCACGAATTTCTTAGGTATATAGCAGGAACAGAAGAGCACATATAGCAGGCATATCAAAGGCATGGAAGAATACATAGCTTTATAAGTATGTAAAAGAGATTCAGGAGTTAAAAATTGTGTAACATGACACAATGAACCAAATTTCTTATCAGCAGACTAGCTTAGAGCGTTTAGTTAAAATACATCAGAAAAGAAAGGTAGATTATGCTGTGGTTCAACAAAGTGACCGTCCTGGTTATGACGATAAACTACATCCGCGTCCTGGGTAAGACGATAAACTACATCCGCGTCCTGGGTAAGATGATAAACTACATCCAACAGCAAGGCCACTGATCAAGAGGTTTCTGATGAGCGTGGAACCACCTCATAATTGCTGGTGTTCCCAGGTCTACTCTGTCCTGGGGTGGTAGCACCTGTCGGGGTCTAATCTATGGGCAAAGAGGTAACTCACCCCAGAAGGGGTCAAAACACTATGAAAGTTTAAAAATGGGTTTTAAAATACCAGCAATACTTTTTTGAAAAAAATATTACCATTTTGGAAAAAGAAAAATATTAACACCAATAAATTTTTGGAAAAAAAAATATTACCAGCAACAAATGTTTGGAAAACATATTACCAGTAATACATTTTTGGAAAAAAATATTACTAGCAATAAAAATCTTGTGGACATTAAACAAACTAAACCAAACCAAACCAATGAATAAAGTGGAAATTTATTAAAGAGTTGGAATGGTAATAATATTGATCCCAGTATATTTAGCTTTGTTCGAAACAATTATATTAATGTGTGTGAATAAAAATAGATTTAGCAGAGCTGTATTCTGAATTACTTATACTAAAAAAAGCACTTGGGAACACATTTTCTTTAATTAATCAGTTTACATAATGAAGTCTAATGATTTTGCCCTCAACTTCTCCTCTTCTTCTTCTTCTTCTTCTTCTTCTTCTTCTTCTTCTTCTTCATCCAACATTCCAGTCCGTATTCGGCCATCCATTTGCAGAAGGTCGTTATGTAAATTCCTCGATGTTTATCTGTCCCTCTTGCCTACAGTTGGTCCTGAGAGTTTCAAATTCTCTAAGAATCATATCTCTGTTGTCTCTACATCTGTGAATAAATTGCCCAGTTATTCGCTGCCAAAAGGATTAACGTTACGTGGGTGGGAGGAAAAGTTCATAGGCTGACAAGGAAGAATTAATGCTAGATCTGCGAAATATCGCTGGCTTTAAATTCAATTGTTGTTAATAACTTCATTTTCTTCTTACGTGTTAACTGACATCCGACTGTTCAAATAAGACCTCAAATCTAACAAGTAGCGACCTGAGAAGAAACATGAGTTTTTATCGTAGTGTTATGAAGTCCTTACAGAAAATATTTCTAACCAACAAGGACAGTCAAGCTGATCTCATCGGAAAGTTTGATTTTGTTCGTTGCAGAATCAGCTGTTTTTCTTGAACATTTTTGAACCCGAGATGCGTGTTGAGTTCATAACTTTGAAACAGAGACAAACAGACAATCAATTTTGTTGAAACACCTGCCCTCACCTGCTCTAATGATGGCTAGGATCGTTTCATCTACAGGGAAGGTAATGGTCTAGATTTTCGTGATGCAGAAGGTACTGTGTTTATTGACTATCTGCAAAGGCGCTACATCATTCATCGAAGGTACCGTTACAACTTGCTGAAGACAGTTACAAAGAGCTATCAAGACCAAACAACCCAGGAAAACTGACAAAAGGAGACTTCTTTCATCAGGAAAATACACCAGTACACAAATCTTTATGAACTTCATCACCGACCTTCCCGATGTCATCAGTTCCCATTAATATTTACTTATGCCCAAATAGAAAATCTGGTATCGTTGACAAAACTAATCTGGCAGCCGGTTTCGAAAAGGACCTCCAATCTGCGTTTGACTGTACAGGATGTGGTTTTCAAAACTTCAATGCCTCCCAAACAAAACTGCTCTCATTTACCCATCACAGAGAACTCTCCCTGCCGACCATCATAATGGCTGATGCCCAACTCCACGAGAGCGCCTCGTTGCGCCTGCTTGCTCTCAAGCTGTCCGCTGATATGAGGTTGAACAAATACATAGACTCAATAGCTTCATCTACTTCCGGTTCTCTGTGTCGTACCAGAAAGTTTTTATCGTCTGAGTCCATCCTTCAAATCTATAAAGGAACCATCCGTTCCTGCATGGAATATTGCTGTCATACATGGTCTCATGTCCCAGCTGTAAGTCTCGAGGTCCTCGACAAAATACAGCGACAGATATGCAATGCGATAGGTCCTGATCTGGCATCTAGTCTACAGTCGCTTTCTCACAGGCTTCCCTCTGTCTCTTCTATAAGTATTTTCACGGCAACTGTTCCGACGAGTTGCTTCCGCTGGTTCCCAGATTGCATGAATTTAAACGAGCTACCAAGTTGGCATCTCGTTCCTACACTTTCACTGTCGAAACGGTTACATTTAACCGTCTCTTCTATTCAAGCAACGTTTTCTCTCGCACTTCACGTCTGTGGAATTTTCTTCCTCTTATTTGCTACTCTGATAACTATAATCGTCAAATATTCAAGTGTAATGTCAATCGACATCTTCTGATACTTTTGATCTTGTTTCCCCCGTCCTTTTCTTTATTCTCTCTCCAAACACGTCTCTTTACTCTTGTTCTCGACCCTCTGTAACTCAACCCTCAGTGACTTGTCAATGGATACAACTGTGTCCTTGAGGACACATGGCACAGTGGATAAAGGTGTTGGTAAGATCCAGTGACAGGTCCCAAAGTGTTCAATACCCGGTTAAGGCAGTGGAGAACTTTCAGAGGGAAAATTAACAGGAGATAACTGATAGCTGACATCCATCAAACATGGCACGTGGAACTGGAACAGTCTACCCCAGTGAGCGAAATAAAGGGTTCAGTTCGACATTCCAACCACCCGAAGAAGGCCGGAGCGTACAATGGCCGAAACGTTGTGATAAATATGGCGACAAAGATTGGGACAATAGTCCGATTAATGTAAATAATATACATAATACCTCATTTCAGAAATATAGACAGATTCACTTACGTACTAATACCGTTGGAAAAAGTATATATCTTCTTCTTCTGTAGCCAGTTATGGATAAATGGTTAAAGCAGGACAGTGATTCTATAGCCTTGGTCTATAGAAAATACCGCAGGAATAAATGGCAACCAACTGTGGGGAAAACTCTGTCTCGTCTGTCATGTATCGAAAGCTATATGATCGCCTAAGCATGTATCACGCATGCACATAACTGATTGATTGATCTTGTTGATACTGCAATCGTGAGAATATTTCTGTTAATATACCATCAGTCCATATTATGGTTCTGTTAATCTTCTCCCCGGTTTTAATATTTCTGGTCCTTTTGTTTTTTCCATTGTAGGTTTTTCTATCCCTTTGGGAAAAAGGTATTTCACGTTTTCGCTCTACATTTCAGGTATTTTCTTTTCTTTTTTCTATTCTCAATGACCAAATTCTCTTTGATTTTATAGATCCTATTGGCTTGTTTCTATCGCTGTATTAATTCTTTTATTCTGTTGAGGATGCATGCTCTGTTTGGGTTGCTCATTATTTCGTTTACTACGCACTATTCATTGACCCATTCCTTTTTAACTTGCCTTTATTTCTTTTCATTTTTTTTTTTTAGTGTTCCGTGCACCTTTCCATTGCTCGGCATTGTTTGTTGTTACTTTTTCATCATCTCAAGAATTTCCGCTCGTTCCTTTCTTGTCTATTTTGTTATGGGATGATCACATTCGTCGATATTCACTAGTATTGCTTTTTGATTTTACTACAGCTTTCAGGTTTTATTCGTGTTTAACTTTGGCCAAGCGTAGTGATGACGTTTACACACGTGAAGACATGTTAAGCAGGGAGGGGTTCCTCAAACAGACGTGATGAGGGCCTGGATTTGGATTTGTTGCGGGCATCTGGGTGTCTGTATCAGACGATACTGGAAAACATTTTTAAAAAAACACACACAATGATCTGACAGTGGTCGAGGGTAACAAAAACGAGGAATTCAGATAAAAATATGCCAAAGTTTATTGTTGGCAAATAAAATAATAATAATAATAATAATAATAATAATAATACAATTCAAACAAATCAAGATGTTAAAAAAAGTCTCAGGGAAAACCAATAGCTGCTAATATAAAATGATGAGACTGTAGCGGTTGGAGTGTACAGATAAACCGGAACATATGATGTGCGCAGAAGATAATTGGAATAATTGATCTTGCGCAGAAGATAACCGGAATAGTCAGTATTGCACAGAAGATAGAAAGAGTTCGTTCGCTGGGATGGTATATCAACAGAGTAGCGACACGCTACGATAGTTTTGCGCATTGGAGAGGCCATCGCATCCCAATGAAAGGTCCGTTTTTATTTATTAAGCTGAGCTATAGCTACGGCACAGTGACAAAAGTATTAGGAACTTACACAGGACTGAACTCTCAGCGTTGCGATAGTCAAGCGGACCAGCTCGATATTATTGAAAGTTATCATGCTAGTAGTTGATAGAACGCTTTAAATGACCCAGAAAAACATCAGAACACGGGTTCAAGAACTGGAATTATATTGGAAGAGTCAAGACTATTCAGAAAACAGTAATACGGAAAACAGGTAGAATATCGAGAAATGTCCTGGTTTGACATTTGAGAAGATTGTTGGCACTTAATCTCCTGCGGATGTCACAAGTTACCATCCATGAGGATGCTCAATAGAATAATAATAATAATAATAATATTAATAATAATATATATTGGGGAGAGAAAGAAATTGAAGTAACATGATTTGTTCCAATAATCTAATTCTTGCTTCTCTTGTTAAGTACATCCCGTTTGGGTCAGGCCTTCCGCGGCCCGGAAAAGAAAGGGAAAAAAAAACTTAATAATATGTGAATGAATAAATCGAGAAACGAAAGAAATGAATTGGTGATTGAATGCTGAGCACCGTAAGTAAGTGGGTGAATGGGCGAGTGGTAGATATGTAAATCAGTAGATGGAAGCTGAATGTACACTCGGATATTCATTTGCTTTCTTACCTCCATCGGATGTGCGCTGAGGTTGGCTTCCAAGTAAACTACGTGAAAAAAAAAAAAAAAAAAAAAAAAAAAAAAAAAAAAAGAAAAAAGAAAAAAAGAAAAAAAAAAAAAAAAAAAAAAAAAAAAAAAAAAAAAAGAGAAAAAAAAAGAAAAAAAAAAAAAAAAAAAAAAAAAAAAAAAAGAAAAAAAAAAAAAAAAAGAAAAAAAGAAAAAAAAAAAAAAAAAAAAAAAAAAAAAAAAAAAGAAAAAAAAAGAAAAAAAAAAGAAAAAAAGAAATGAATTTCTTCTTAAAGGGACGGACGATCTCTCCGACTGGATCTCTGGTCACCTGGTCATCGAACTGATTATGCATTCAAATCTCAAATCAGAGATGTGTTCAGTCTATACTGGATGCTTCAGGTAGTTTTCTATTAAATTGCTCTCCTCTCTCCGATTCTATTCATATATAGTGCCGCATTCTTTTCGCGTTTCCTTATTTCCCTCATATTTACAATCTTCAAAAATTTAAATGCAACGCCAATCGCCATCTTCTATATTCTTACACAGGTTCCGCTTTTATCCTTTCCCCTGTTCACCTATAACTAGTCTTTACTTTCTCCTTCATTCTATGTAACCTCCTGCGTACTAGTGTCATTTCCGCCCTGCTTGGGGTGAAATGATTAAAAAAAAAGTTTCTCTCCTCCCTCTTTATCTATCTATCTATCTTGTTCTGGTCATATCTATCTATCTATCTATCTATCTATCTATCTATCTATCTATCTGTTCATTATTGCTCTTTCTCTCTGTTTCTCTGTGTGTTTCACTCCCTCTATCTATCTGTATATCTATCAGTCTGTTCCTTATTGCTTTCCAGCTTTCTCGCTATTTCCTTATCTATCTATCTATCTATCTATCTATCTATCTATCTGTTACTGTCTGCTCCAATTTTAGTATCTCAGTATATATATATATATATATCTGTGTGTGTGTGTGTGTGTGTGTGTTTGTGTAACTGGATATTGAGCTCAATAATGAGTGGGGACAGTCTGTTTCACGCTTGAAGGCAATCCTCAAGCTTGAAGATTGTGTGAAAGGGTAAAGACTATCATAACACAATGCTGACGCTATTGCCTACTTTTATGTTTCCACACGTTCGATCCTCGATTTTCAAGACTTGTCCACATAAATAAAGCATGCCGTAAAAATATATATATATATATATATATATATATATATATATATGACCATTCATATTCGAGGATACTCATCTACTAGGGCGGCTATCCAATCCCTGTTGCAGATGCTCTGTCAGGCATATTTGTGTTTGCTCTACGCCCACATAGCCCACTTGTGGTTTATACTGCAACTATGCTGAGCCAACCTTAGTTACAGTTTCTTAGCAAGAGCGTGCTATCTAGCGTGATCAACGATATGAAAAAGGACAGTACGCTCAAGCAATCGGCCACGATGACTTGTGGCTTTGTGCTAGCCAATCTATCGACGGCCCTCAAGAGATCCGTCTACCCAATTTCACTCACAAGGCTTGGGTCAACCCGTGGTATGGTTTTCAGGCAGTTTCATCGATCCATTCCGGAAACATCAGGAAGTCTCCTTCCTGACACATCGACCATGGTAAGATTCGAACCCGGGTCTCATGGTTAGAAAGCGAACGTTCTCTCTCGGTCATATTCATTCACTTTGTTTCCTTATCTGTTTTTATATGTATTCAATTATCGAAAGAGGAAATATATTGAAATTATATTTAATACAAGGCAAAGTAATGCAATGGCTTTTTATTTATTTTTTTTAAGCATTACGCCCCGAGCAAGGCGTGAAGCCACTAGGATGTAGAAGATTTGGAGCGAGAGCAGATAGGAGTGATAGAGGAAAGGATGAGGAGAGGGATAGCGGATAGATCAAGGTAACTGGAGATGTCGATTGACATTACATTTGAATAGTTGGAGATTATAGCTCTCAGGGAAACAGTAATAGGGAAGGGTGTTCCACAGGTGAGTGGTGCGAGGTATGAAACTATTGGAGTAGAAGAGACGGCTACATTTAAAAGTTTCTACAGTGTAAGGGTGGGAGCGGGATGCCAGCCTCGTAGGGCGCTTGAATTCATGAAGTCTGGGAATCAGTGAAAGCATCTCATCGGAGCAATTACCAAGAAAGTATTTGTAAAAAAAGACAGAGAGAGGCGACGGCGCGTCTGTGAGAGAGCAACTGTAGACGAGATGCCAGATCAAGGCCAATTATATTACATATCCGCGCCTGGATCTTGTCAAAAACTCCGAGCTAAACAGAAGGTGCACCAGACCATATATGGCAGCAATACTCCATGCAAGGGCGAATGGTTGATTTGTATATTTGAAGTATCGATTCCGGGGAGAAAAATTTCCTGGCGCGGCACAGAGAGCCAACTTTCCTCGCGGGGGACGAAGCAATTGACTCAATGGATTTGTTCCATCTCAGGTCAGCAGTCAACGTGAGACCCAGCAGACGCAGAGAGTTGCTCTCAAGAAGTTGACTATCAGACATTTTAAGCGGGGGGGGATCTCTATGGTGATTAATAGAGAGTAGTTTACTTTTTGAGGCGTTGAAGTTGACCAGACAATTCTTGCCCCAATTGCTGGTTCATTTTGAAGCGGGCATGTTAAGGTGATTCCGTTCCTCCCACAAGGCAGTAGGTAGTTTTAATTCCGAGTTCGCTTTCTCTTAGACTGGTTACCAACCAAGTTTGTAGGGCTCGTTCTGTTCTACTATTTATCCATATCTTGGGGTATGAGATGGAGTCATACCTTTCTCAAGATTATTAGAGTATTAGTGAATACAATGTAGTCGACTGGAAATTTTGTGGATCAAACTTGTGTGGAAAGCAAGAAGGCGGATGAGAATTCCACAAGCGAGAATTGCGCAAAATGAACTGTTAGCATAGAAATTACGGTTTTAACATTATTATTATTATTTTTTTTATTATTATTATTATATCGATTTGGTTTTGCTTTATGTAGTACGAGTTGCTCCAAACTTTCCAACAGAATCAACTATAGTGATTTCCAAGCGCAACTCAGATGTGACACAAGGCCGAAAGTATGGGGCACCCATACTTTCGGCTTCACTAATCAGTCGAAATTCTTCTAGCGAGACAATCTTGCTAACCATTACACCACCGCGAGTAGCCCTCATACAGAGATAACCATATTTGTATAGAAATCTACGCAAGCTGTGAGATTTACTCGTGAGTGTGATTTTTTTTCAATTCATATATTTTAGGTTTACCAAAAATTTGACTTACTTATTTGTTTGCTTCTTTTGATGTCATTTACCAAAAGTTCGAATAACAACAGTTAATGTTGCCTTGTGATACCGCATTCTGCTTTGAGATAAATATTGCCATGATGACACACGTAGACACACGTTGTCTTGGAATGCCACATTCTGTTGAATTCTATCTCGTGGATTATTATTATTATTATTATTATTATTATTATTATTATTATTATTATTATTTCTGTCAATTAATGTTGAATACTCCTTTGCTTCGGGATCCCAACCAGAGACCTAAGTCAAGAAATTACATTTTCACTGATCATTTTAAAAATATTAAAGAAAAAAAAAGATAAAGCAATCGTAATGTGTGAGCTGTACTTGTGGGTATGATTCCCTCTACTTCTATAAGGCTTAGGCTACCATAAATTCCTTCAATATCAAAACCATTTCCAATGAAACCAACTACAAATGGAATTATTGATGTTCTTATATACCACACTTTTTTGATTTCCTCTTCAAGATCATTGTAATTTGATTTTTAGGTTTTTTTTTTTAATGATCTTCAAAGATACATTACAATCTGCAAGGGCTGCCATGTTAATAAGAAAGGGCATTTTGATTTTGTGGTACTGAACCGGATATTTATTGTAGTCCATCTTAATTCACCAGAAGAAAAAATGTTAAGATCAGAAGCCATGACTGCTGTAGCGTTCAGTCATTTAATACAATTATTTTTGTTTTTGTTGTTTCGCTTTTTGTGGCATGAGTTGTCTCCAAGTTTCTCTCAGTGACTTCAGGAAACATGTCTTTTTAATCTATCTTTGGATGCAAACAGATGTAGTGCCATGGAAGCAGAGATAACAAAATTAATGGAATTGTGGTCACTGTATGGACAGAAATCTACGAAAGATTTTTGAAGTACCCCTGAGTATGATTTTTTTTGCAATTCACATATTTTACGGCTACCAGAAATTTGATCCACACATTGTAACTCGCTATTATTGAAAGTAATCATGCCAATAGTTGATGGAACGCTTTATGTAACCCAGAAACTTTCGGGACAAGA